ATCACATGACTTTGCTCTAAGTAGTCGCCTCGAGACAGGTTGAGTGTGCCGTAAGATATTTCTTAAAGTTAACATTTTCTGTATATCTGACAGTGTAAATATTCTCTCTCAGAAGATGATCAAACTGTTATAGTTTATAAAGTCGGACTGTGACAAGATTAAACTGTCAGAATCAATGTTCATTGTTCATAGTACTGGGTACAGATGGCACACCCAACCTGTTTGGGGGTTACTACTTAAATATTAACGTGGAAGTTTAACTTCCTGAAAAACAAAGACATCTGTTTGAAATGATGATTCAACATTATTTTTCAGTCATTCTTGGAATGTTCAGACATGAGTATTTCCAAGAGCTAATGGAACTTTTTTTTACTGCACAAAGCTCCTTGTGAAATCATTTGGCTTTAAAGTTCATGGAAATCTTCAGAATCAAAAGCTAAAATGAGATAACCATCAGCTGGCCAATTAATTTCTAATGGAATACTATGACAGGAAAGAGTAATTGTTTCTTACTTGTCGTATTTTTTACATCAGCATAATGTAAAATTGTCATTTTTTTTTGCCAAATTTGTAACTGGAAAAGAAGTTTGCAAGAGAGGATGCCTAGAAATCTCAGCTGAACTTGTCCTGATTTGTAATTTCTTTTTCATATTAATGCTTCAAAAAGATAAATAATTAAGGCCTTCACATCATAACGTAAGCTAATGGGGGGGAAAAAGAAATTAAAATCAGACTTCTGGTATCTGGTCTCTGTGACAGAAATTCCCTGATGGCTACATCCAATGTTGGACTGTTATCAGAAAACAGCTGAAAGATGTTTCTACAAATAAATCAAGTAGTAGAGAGATGCGTGTTGCACTGTTGGGACACATCGGAATAAAGATTTGCATAAGCTGGACGCCTGATTTGGTCAGATTTGTTTTTGAATTTAGTGTCGTGCATGGGATGGTAGAACCTTTTTTGTTTCCTCTTATGAATACAGTGGTTCGTTGTCTAATCCGTGAAGCGGTCCTATCAGTCTCACTGAAACCTGCCCTCTGGGGTAGGCGTGCAGGTTTCTTGATGGGAGACTGGCACAGGCAGAATTAATTTCTGGTTGGAAAGGCTGCGGTTGACCTCACATCCTCCACTGAGTGAGGCCTGGGTGCCTGATTGAGGGTTTGAACGTTAGGTGGGGGATGGGTGGGGTGTTGGGGGGTGTGGTGGTCGGCTGCTGAGAGGAAATACCCTGCCCTTGTTGTAATACCCTTGCTCTCCCTTCTCCCTGCAGCCCCAATTCATGAAACTCCATGACCTAACGTGTTAAATATAACCAGGGTTTCCCTGTGCTTTTCCGACTCTGGAATCTGACTTTCTGATAGCATCTTTTGGCCTCCCCCATTGTCACTGGTGAGTGCAACAGCTTCTGGTCTTTGATCAGCTCTCAATAGGTGAGACTTCAACCTCCAAACCTCATGCCTCAACAAAATTCTACTCCGATTTCTGCAAAGTGGCAACTGGCTCCAGAGAAGTAACCTGCTCAGATTTCTTTAAGTGGTTGCTTAAGGCCGTGAATGAGCTTGCTGAGTGGAGAGGTTTGGGTTTTAGTTTTGAGGTCAGAACCACAGCACCGAGAAGATGGTGGTGATGTAGCAGGGAGCAAACTGCAGCAGCAATGAGGAGCGAAGACTGTAAGATGGTCCACGCAGTCTTGGCAGCAGCAATAATTCAGAATTGTTAGCCACAACAAATTGCCAAAGTACACAAGATTTGGATCAGGCAGAATTAAAACCAGAAAATTCTGATTTGGGTTTTCCAACATGCTTAGTATCCAAAAAATGAAATGACAGGCTCACATTTTGAAGTGCAGATGTTTTATTTATGGGCCACTCTTCCTCATCTCTCTACTGGCCTAGTGTTTATTTTTCATTTATGCCTGTGGGGTTTAGGAGGTTCCTCTTTTTTGCATTTAAAGACATGACATAAATAGTTGCTTTTATCACTGTTAACACTGACTAGATGTATGGCTGTCTTTTCCCTTTTGGGGTGGTTTATGGATATATTAACTAAGGAGGGCCATCTCCTGTCAAACAACATTAGGCGAAAGAATTGATATTAATTATCAAGTCCTGATTTAGAAAGACAAGAGCCTCGATGGAAATGGAATATAAAACAGTGCACTTTGACAATTCTCATGATGTTAACATTCTAATTATCTCCAGCATAAGATTTTGGTTCAGAAATTTGGGGTATTTGTAATTCCTGAGAAGCTAACGTTAATTTTACGTGACATATAAGATAACACTGAAAAATCTTAACTCTAAAATGGCTTGACTTCCCTGTACATAGGGACAGTCAACACAAGTTGTTGCTTTTGTCCTGAAAATTGGTCACATTGGTTGAGTGGAGCAAGCTGTAGGGGGAATGGTTTGGCTGTTGGACACGAGATGCAGAATTTTAGTTCCAAGGATGGAACCCCAATCTCATGATGACTCCAACCCTGCACCGTGTGGAAATGTGTGCACTGCTTGATTATCCAGAATGTCACTTGCTCTGTCCAGTTAATGGTAACAGATGTGGGAAGTGAGCAGGACCAAGTAAGAACAGGCCTGATGTTTAAATGGAAGGATGTAATTCATCCACAATATGGGAGCCCAAAGTCGGCCCTCCAGCTTTTGCAGTTGGTAGATTTCAATGGGCAGTTGTCCATATAATGTAGTGTTTGAAAGCAGAAAGCTGTCTGAGGCTTGGTTTTTTTTTTCGTTCTAGATCAAGCAATGATGCAAGGCCTGGCAGATGATGTAAGCTCTTCCCAAGAATTTTGCTCAACACATGTTTATTCTCAAATCCTGTTGTGCACAATTTTTTGAGTGCATCATTGTCTACTAATTAACTACCTTCTACGCAATCCCATTTATTTACGAATTTGTGAATTGAAATTTGATCTTGAGTGAAGATGAGCTTCTTTCTGACAAGTGTGCTGATTTATGAACCAAATCCAATTGTTCATTTTTCAATCAGATGTTTTAATTAAATATGACATCAAAAAACTTACTTTAAAGCTTTCTGGATGAATTTGTTGTCAAACGCTAATTGTATTAAATTGAACATTGTATTGTGTAGATCTGGATAATTCATGCCTGAAATATGTGATTTACTTCATCAATTTGTATTCAAATAATTAGTTTATAGATCTCAATTAAATTACTGCGTATTTATTTCCAATATGCCTATCTACAATCCCCTTGTTTATTTTTAACTAGAAATTAGTATAAGATACTTGTTGCCGCTGATGTTGGAAAGTAACAAAATCGCATAGGTTTTCTTAATTAGCAGAATAATGTAGCTTTTTTTGAGTAGCAAAGATTTGTTTTCCTATGTGCAATTTGCATGACTGAACAAACAATAACATATTAAAATCCAGCAAGGCCCGGATGGAAATCTTTTGGCTGTAAGTGTCCTGTACAGGACTTCTCATTGAAATACATAGGATTCTAAAGGGACTGCAGGCTAAATACAGAGAGGATGTTTCCACTGAGAGAGACGAGGCCCAGAGGGCATAGCCTTAGAATAAAGGGGCACTGATTTAAGACTGAGGTAAGGAGAAATTTCTTGAAGGTTGAGAATCTTTGGAACTCCTTGCCACAGAGCGCTGAGGGGACAGAGTCCTAGTATATATTTTAAGGGTTGGGAATCAAAGGGAAAAGGCAACAGAGTGGATGAGGAATATTGAATCAGCCATGATTCTCTTGAATGATGGTGCAGGCTTGAGGGACCAAATGGTTAACTCCTGTTCCTATTTCTTCTGGCCTTGTGTTTGTGCTGAGCCAGAAAAACAATCCCGTATGAAAACAACCAGTTGTTCACAGAGCCCGTAAGATGTGGGATATGTTCATGTGATGGTGGTGCAGAGGACTCTCCACTTTGGTCATCACCAGACAGGTGCAAGAAAAATGTCAAAAACAACACCAGGAACTCTTGCTTGCATTGACGTGACCGAAGCACTTCACTCAGTAACTCATGAGGATCTGTGGAGTGTGCTGCAACATTCTGGATGTCCAAGAAACTTTCCCACGATGCTCTGACAGCAATTATCTTGAGATCAGAAATACACTCCTTCAAAGTCTGGATTTGGGGCAAGCAAAGCTATGTGTTAGCTTCCATGATATTTGCAATCTCCCTGATGGCGGCAGTTCACGTCATCAAAGATGAACTTCCCCCGTTTGAGTATTAAATGCTGCCAAGATGGAAAGCACTTCAAACTCCGTTATTTCTGTGACAAATCCTTTATGACAAACTGAGTTGGTGGCAATAGATATATGTATGATCTATAGACTACAGTGTTGTTACACACCCTGCACCAGATTTGCAAGACTGCCACCAGATCAGAGATGTCAGTTCATGCTTCTGATAAGTAAAGCAGTGAGTATTTGACAACAATGTCAAAAATAGTCTTAGTGCACTGAGCAATTGTCATAACCACACTCTGGCAAGGAGACCTGGTCTGTGTATCAACGTCAAATAAGTATTCCAGAGAAATTCCATCAGCAAGTTCTCTGTCATAGCCATAGCATTAAGGGGGAGAAGGATCTCTCAAATGTTATTGTCCTCCATTTGAAGCTCGCTCCATAAGCCCTCGGACAAAACTTGTGCAAAGTCAAATCTGATGGACAGACCACTGTTTCTGCTTGACGGAAAATGTGTCTCCTCGTCAGGTCCTAGTTTTCTTAAACAGCCAGTGTTCCAGGGCACAACAGTCTGAAGTTCCCCTAGAAGCATGGCAACATGGATACAAATAACCAGCAAGAGTAGGCTACTAATTGCACCAAATGGTTACAACATGCTCATTAAGCTAGATCACTCTTAGACACCCAACACCTTTTATCGATGAGGCCGAGAAATAAAGAAAAGGAAACAAATCCTGCATCCAGAGATCTGTCGGTCAAGAATCAGCTTGTTCAGCCATTTGTGAACCGATGGCAGAAACTCACATCTTCTGAGTAGATATTACCCTTGAGTTGAGAGACAGTTGATGATTGGTGTACTAGTAAATGAGGGAATTGAAGAAAACAGGCAACTTTTTCTTTGATTTCCAAATGTCAATCTGTTAGTTGACCAGATAACAGTTTAAACATTCTGGTAGCATTAACACTTATTGAGCAGAAAAAGAGGCACTGAGAGGATACTTATTTGACTACTTGAACTGATGATCTTTACTCACAGAAGAACCGGGGCCATCGAAATGTGGGAACACCACCAACTGAAAGTTCTCGCCCAAGCCTCTCACCAACCCATGACCTTATATATATCATCGTTCCTTCACTGTTACTGAGTCAAAATCCTTAATCCCCCTTTTTAATTGCACTGTGGGTATCGCTTCACCTCAGAATTGCAGTGGTTCAAGAAGGCAGTTCATCACCCCATTCCCAAAAACAATTTAGGGTGGATAATAAGTGCTGGCCTGGCTAGCAATGTCCCATCTTCTGAATGAATAAAAGAAAAAAAATCCTATGGAGTCTATTTTTCACGGAAATATGTCACTTTTCTCTCCTGTTAGAACGTGTCCAAAACTTCCCATGCGACTACACTGGTAAGTCTCCATAATGGAAAGAATTGTCATCCAAATGATCTGAATATCACACAGGCTATTTGTCATTCAAATGTTTGGAAATATTTGTCAATGGAACAAGAAGGAACTTCACGTATAGGCTTCTTCTAGCCTAAAAAAACCCCTCCAGTTGGTAGAGGAGTTTGTTTTGATTTTTCTCTAAGCCACATTGCTGAATGTATGAACAGGATGCTGATTGCAACTTATCCAAAGGCCTGTTTGAGATCCATGTATGTACTGAGCAAAAATGACTGTGCACTTTTTATGAATTGTGTGCTCTCTCTCTTTCATGCCAGTCCAATTTGACTTTGTACGTGAACAGTGAGCAATAAAGCAATAAAATTCATGGTTGTGGAGTGGTTAAAAAAAAATTGCTTTTGGTGGCTGCTGCATTTCAATTGAAGAAAATGGTACCAAGTGGAGACTGGTATTCCACTTCTGTAAGGTTGAAAGGCTGCTACCACAAATAGTAGCATTGATAAAGCACCTTGAATCTAATAAATACAAATACATATCTCTGAGCCATGTGTGCACCTCTCCTAAGCAGGATCTGAACCAACATCTGACATGATCTTGGGAGGGTTTTCACTCTGTCTCTTCAGGCAGAAAATTTGGATGAGTGTGGGTGTGGGGAAAGCAGAAGCAGAGAAAAATATAGTAAAAGGACACAAGAATTAAATATTGAATGCTTTGACAGTGATGGAAACATAGCTAAAAATTGCATCTGCAATTTAGAGAAGGATTACACTTAAGCAAGTTGGCTATTAGTGTCTTTCAATCTTCAGGTGCTCTCTAGCCAATAGAGTACTTGATCATTGTATTTTTTTTCATTATTCATTAATGGGAGGACGACATCACTGGCTAGGCAGCATTTATTGTCCCTAAATGCCCAGAGAGCAGTTCAGAGTCAACCACATTGTGGGTCTGGAGTCGCATGTAGGCCACACCAGGTAAGGATGGCAGTTTCCTTCCCTGAAGGACATTAGTGAAACAGATGGGTTTTTCACCGACAATTGGCAATGGATTTATAGTCATCAGTAGATTCTTAATTCCAGATTTTTTCTTATTGAATTCAAATGCCACCATCTGCTGTGGCGGGATTTGAACCCAGGTCCCCAGAATGTTATCCAGGTCTCTGGATTAGCAGTCCAGCGATAATACCACTAGGCCATTGTCTATCCATAGAGAGGCGATGTGACAGGCAGCTTACACATATGGTGGTAAGATCTCTAACCTTGTGTTATGGCTGTGACTCCTGCCAGCTGTTGTAATAAGTTGTTGAAGACAGTAGGATATTTCACTTGGGAGGCAGAAATACAAGGTAAGCATTCACTCGCTTTATAGAGGGGCCAGTTCAAGTAACAGGTGACAGGTCCTGGTTAACTGGTGAAGGTGGATGACTGAATTAATTGCAATTAAAGCAGAATCCCCCCCACCTTTTTTCTAACGTGGCAATGCAAAAGGCAGCAGTTTGTGGCCAAGGTTGTTTTTTTTTGGCTCAATTCAGCTTTGATCTAGAACATTGTGAATGAGTGGATGTGCCCAGAGTACTTGGGCTTATCCAAATGTTGCAGTCTGTGGAAAAACAATTTGTTACAATTTGCTGCAGTGCTTCCCATGTTATGTTCTGCTGTGACTTTAACACTTCAAAATTAGTGCAAGTACAGAGGTCTGCTAAAAAGCACCATTGCAGTAATGCAGAGCATATATTTTTATGGTTTGCATGTTATGGATCAACATTGATACCTAATACAAATATGAAAATCTGCATTTTAAAATGAGTAAAAATGTTTCTTTCTTTGACCTCTTAGTTTTTAACCACGCTATCTGCCAGTGACATGATTCACAGAAGCATCCACTGCACAGTAACTAGATCCAGCTCCCCTTCACCAATTCACGCACACAGTAACCAGCCCGTCCCTCCCCTTCTCTGATTTTCTCTCTCTCTCACCTCTCCTTCTGAGACCAATCAGATCCTCCTCCATGTGCCCTGCCCCAATGAAAGGGGGTCAACAGGTAGGGAACCTGTCAAAACAGACCAGAGCAGTATTATGGCAAAGTTTGAAGCCTTCCCAGCTCAGCCACACAGCCTCCTGACAACTTGCTGCTGAAACTGATAGATTCTGCTGCACACACAGTGCCTCTGCCTGCCCCAAATCAATGCACAAACATCTTGGTTGCACTTGCACCAAGTGTCAAATGTATTATTTTTGGGATTGAAGAGTGCATTGGACTCTGGCTGTCCTGCTATAGAGTGTCTCTTTGCACCCCCCCCCCCCCCCCCCCAACTTTGCCCTGCCCCAGTAGCAGCTGCCAGTTAAGTGTAAGGTGGTCAGTGGTGACCCCCCCCTCCCCCCCCCATATTGATAGCACTGGATTCTATGATAATTGCTGGGCATTTCTGGACCAGAAATGTCATTTGGCACAATCGGTCCTATGCGGTTGACCA